ACCTTGTTGCTAGAGCGGCAGATGGACGTCTGGGAAGAGCTTGGTTGGAACCAAGCGTCCTCCACGCTGGGTCCTGCAGCCAGAATCACCGCCTTCTGGTGTCGCGCCTTACAACCTAGGAGCGTAGGACGCTTTCTATTGCTCCACATATCTGTGGTCAGCGGATAGCTGCTGGTAAGGTCAGCACGCTTTCATCAGTAGTAATAATGGCAGTTTACATTTTAGAGCGCTTACTGTGGGCTGGGCACTGTGTAAAGCCACTTTATGTGTGTTGTCTCAGTCTTCCCAGGAGCCCCGTAAGTGAAGTACATTTGTTTTACTGATGAGGAAATGAAGACGTAAAAAGGTGGAAGTCATACATCCCTAAGGTCACACAAAAAGAGATGGGACCAAGATTCAAACGCAGGACGTCTAAAGCGAGACCAACACCCCCATACACCCCTGCCCACCCCCCCGCCGCGCGTTTGCTCCTTAACACTGTTACTTTCCCGCCATATTTCCGCCTTTGTGAAGCTGTTTTGGATTCCATCCAACAGAAGACAACCAGTCCTTCCTTTAAACCTCCATTTCATGATTTCTGGACCCTTCCTGCTTTCTTAGTTCTCTTATGGCCTCTCTAGATGTGGAAGATACAAAGGTAAATTATACCACAAAATGCTATTTTGTTCCTCTTTTGTGTGGCCTTTCTCTCTACTAGACATCTTCCTAAAAGCAAGGGCTTCAGATTTAAACAGACCTGGGTTAGGATTCAGAATGCACCACTTACTAGCTCGGTGACCTTGTGCAAATTTCGTCTCCTCTTTGTGCCTTAATGTTCTGCAACAGCAATTATTATTTGTTGAGCAACACTCTCTGGCACAGTGCTAGGCACTAGGGTAACAGTAGTGAACAAAACAAGCACGTGTTTAATAGGAAGAATAGACAATACATATTAAGGAATAAAATAAGATAATTCCAGATAGCGTTAAATACTGTGAAGAGTGAGTCAGAAACGTACATTTTGTAGTGCCGAATTTGAGTTGAGGCCTTAAGAACAAGTCAGCCAGCCATACAACGATTGCAGTCAGAGCAGCTTTTACTCAAAAATACTTGAGCCCCTACTCTATGCCTGGCAGTGTTCTAACATGCTATTTTATACAGCTGTGAAAATAATGGTATAGATTCGTGCTATCATGAAACTGGCATTTCAATGTGTGAGTTTGGAGGCCAGGGATGGAAAAAAAATTTAATAGGGTGGTATAATAATAAGGAATTCAGTGCGGGCTAATTTTGACAGTTGGTTGGGAAAGTCTCCTCTGAGGTGGTGACCTTTAAGCTGGTATCCGAGTTACAAAAGGAATTACCCATATTAGGATCTGAGTGAAGGAAGAGTATTTCAGGCAAAGGGGAGTTCAAAGGCCCCAGGCAGGAATTAACTTGATGTATTAAAAAACGAGAAAGGAAGCCAGTTTTGATGGAACATGGTAAGGGGTGTAATAGAGCATAAAAGACTTTGTAAATTAGCACAGAGTTGGGATTTAATTCCAAGTGCAATTGAAAAGCCATCGGAGACTTTCAAGCAAGAGTGACTTGATTTGACTTTTTTTTTTTTAAAGTCGTGGGAAGGGGGACGGGGTGACCAACAGATATTGAGGAAGATATGAAAAGTGCGGACAGGGAAACCAGTTATGAGACCCTTGCCAAGTGAGAGATGATGTGACTTGACCGAAACCTAGTAATGGAGATGTAGACAGACTAATGGATAGATTCAAGTATATTTTAGAGGTAAAGATTTGGATAGGTTATGCAGGAAAAAGAGCAAGTTAGACACCTAGTTTTGTCCTGAAAAAACTAGGCGGTGTGTAACTGTGATGAGCAAAACTGGAGGGAGAGAGAATCAACGAGTTTTCCTCCTAACTGTAAAATAGTTTTTATTCATTGCGTGCTTACTGTGTGTTAGACGATTTACAGATTTTTTTCCCCGTTAAAATCCACAACACTGTCGGTAAGTGCTTTCCCTCGGTTTTGTTAATAAAGAAAATTAGGCTCAGACGAGAGGAGGGGAGAAGGAGATCTCACTGCAAGAAGTGGTGGAAGACGAATCCGAACTTAAGTCGATCTGTCTCCACAGTCTCTTCTCTGTTATAGATACCAGGCCTCTTTTCTATGAAACCAAGACAATTTTTTCTTTTTTCTTTTTTCTTTATTGAGTTGGAGTCTCACTCTGTCGCCCAGACCGGAGTGCAGTGGCCGCTCCCGGCCACCGCAGCCTCGACCTGCTGGGCTCCGGCGATCCTTCCGCCTCGGCCTTCCAAGTAGCCGGAATTACAGGCATGCGCTACCACGCCCGACTGATTTTTTGATTTATTGTAGAGATGAGGTCTCGCTGCCCAGACGGGTCTCGAACCCGCGGGCTCGGGCAATCCACTCACCTCAGCCTCCCAAAGGCGCGGGATTACAGGCTGAGCCACCGAGCCCGGCTCAAGACAATTTTTTGATGGTGGTGTTAGGAGAACGTGAAATGTGATCTAAGAAACGCGTCCCAAGAACAATTGGCGTGGAGTAATTGTCCCCGCCCATTCTACCTTAGTCCCTCGGCTCCCAGGTCCAGCGCGTAGCGCCATTTGAATGAAATTCCAGATCTGTAACCAAGACAAAATCTCCCGCCCGCAATTGGTCGGTGCGGGGAAGAGCCTTATGATTAGTGGAAAGTCCGAGGAGGCGGGCGAGGGGGACGGAGACTTTGTGTACCTCGGGCGTCCTCACTTGGCACCACCCTCCACACTTCACGTCATTTTCTACGACTCGTGGGAGCTGGGGCTTAGCGGATTCCTGCCGCGGCGCGACCCTCTGACGTTCCCGCTTCTAATTGGCCGGGAACTGCGGCTGCAATTCCGAAGCCTAACTGGCTGCTTGTGCCGCCTCGGAGGTGAAGTGTACTGCGCTGATTGGCTACTAGGTACCGGCCGCGTGTGATGTCCTGGGCAGCGATTGGCCCTCGCCGGGGGGCTTCTCTCACCGGGACTCGGGACTCCCGGGAAGTGGACTGGCAAGTGAAGGGGGCGAGCTAGCTGTCTCTGCGGACCCAGTAGGAGACCCCCGGCGTGAGGCGGCCTCGCGGGGCCGGGTGGGCTGGCGAGCCGACGCTGCGGCGGCGGAGGAGGCTTGTGAGGGGTGCGAGGGACAGGGCCCGGGACAGAGAAACCATGGCCCCGCAGAACCTGAGCACCTTTTGCCTGTTGCTGCTGTACCTCATCGGGGCCGTGATCGCCGGGTGAGGAATACGCAGCCTTTGCTGAGAGGATGGGAGAGGAGGGGGTACTGGGAAGGAGTAGTTAAGGGAAGCGGCATTGCTAGACTGAGTGGAGGGGGGCGTCGCTGTGGTGCGGCTGTGGGGCAGAGGAATGGGTAGTGTGGGCCAGGCTAGTGGAGTGAGAGAACCGCGGGCGACACTCGTGAAAAGGCCTTAGGTCCAGAGACCCTGTAGAACTGGATTTGCCCAGGAGAATGGGAGTTGGATGCGTTGCCAAACACGGCGTTTAGGGAATGAGGGAGGGTTGAGGGAAAGAAGGTGGTGGTGAGCGGAAGCGGTGTCACGCCGAGCTAGGGAAGGACGAGGGGCGCCTGACGGTAAAGAAGGCAGGACGGTGCCGGGCCGAGGTTGAGAGAGACATTTGTTTGGTCAAAGAGTTGGGTTGCTGTGCTCTGCTGAGCTGGAGAATCGGACAGTGCTATGTCCAGCTTATCACGAGACATTTGGGGTCAGACATTAAAGTGGGTGGGTTATGCCTGACCCAGTGAGGAGAGCAGGTGGGGAAGCCATGCTGGGACTGAAGGAAATTGACTTGAGGGAGCAAAAGCCCCTTCGGAGAGCCCTTGTGCTTCCCAACTTCTTGAACTGTTTACTAAGCCTAAGCTGTCATCATGCCTCACTCACTACCTCTTGGTGGTACATTCTTTTTTTAAATTTTTATAGGTTTGGGGGGTACAGGTGCATTTTTGCTACGAGCGTATGTTGCATAGTGGTGAAGTCTGGGCTTTTGGTGTAACTTTCACCCGAATAGTGTACCTTGCATCCCTCACTTTCCTTTGACGTTTTGGAGTCTCCAGTGTCTATTATTCCTGTCTACGGATTGTTTAGCTCCCGCTTATAAGTGAGAGCACGCGGTATTTGACTTTCTATTTCTGAGTTATTTTACTTAATAATACTGGCCTCCAGTGCCATCCATGTTGCTACAAAAGACATAATTCAATTTTTTTAATGACTGAGTAGTATTTCCGAGCGAGAGTGTGAGAATGTGTGTGTGTATACATTCTTGAGAAGCTGAATGGTGTTAGCAGGAAGAGCAATTCACCAACAGATAGCAAACTGGAATTCTACCCGCACACCCGTACCCCACTTGTGAATATGTAGCCTTGAAGGAGCCAGCTAACCCTTATCTATAACATGAGGGTAATATAACATGAGGGTAATAATGTGCCTTCCTTATAGGGAGTAGGAACAAATGAACTCTTGAAGATCCCTCCTGCCTGGAGGATGTATGTTGTTATAAGTCTGGTGACCCAGGATATGGCATGTCATTTTAGAATGTAAAGAATAGTCGTTTTCAGCTTTTGATAATTTATAGGTTATTCTAAATAGAGAAGCTACTACCTAGTAGATCTTTAAATTTTAAGTGTTCTCTTAAAAGTGGTTTCTCTGTGCATGTATGCTTAAACTTTTGTCATTTTTTGTGTGAATCGTCTTAAATTTCTTTTTTGTTTGTTTTATTTTATTTTAAAGACGTAGGGTACCCATCAGGATTAGGTATATAAGTGGTCTACACTTAAAGTTCTTTAAAAAAAAAAAAACAACTTCTAGATAATGCTTTTTTAAATTATGTTTTTATTACTAATTTTTTCACTTAAAGCAACAAGTACCCTTAGGTGTTTAATAAAATATCAACATAAATATTGTTAACACCGTAGGTTTAAACTTCAGTCATTCATAAAGGAGTCTCCTAGGAACTAATATTGATGCTGAGCTATGCTAGCTATCTTTTTCATGTTTTTTCCTGAGCTGCTACTTAATCATTTTTACATGAAGAATATTCTAAGTAAACCTCATTATATAGCTAGCCCTTTTATTACTTTAAAAGTATTTTAAATATTCTGTCACATATATGAATCTTAGAACTCAATGCATTTTTTCTCAATGTATCTTTAAAGAACCATCACTACTAAATTAGTATCTGTATTATGAATATCTGAGATTCCCATTGTTGAGAGAATGCTATTTCAGGATAAATTCTGGTGATTAAAATGACTCTGGCAAAAGGCCAGAATAGGTTTTTATGAGTGCTCTTATTTGTTCATTTCATTCATCCAATAATTTATTGGTCTTTTCGATGGACCAGATATGATCCTTGCCTTGAAAGTTTATTATAATTTTATTCTTCCTTTCTTGCAAAGGTCCTCTTTGCAATTATTTGATTCCAGCATAGTCCCTGGCAAGGAGGTCAGTGGATCTTTATCTTATCTCCCAGTTTATGACATATGCATATGCATATTCATAGCTGCTGAGACATAAAGGCTTCTGCATAATGGGCTTTAGCAGCTGTCTATAATCAAGATTTGCACTAGACAAATTAGTATAACTACTGGAAATGAATGCATGATTGATATTTTCTTTCTTTTAGCTAAAACACCACAACTCATGCATCCAGGTGGATATTATTCGCTCTTCAGAGTTATTACATTTGTGCTTTTGGCTTACCTCTGTGTTAACCTATGAAGTTAACTTCAGTCACTTCATCTTTAACATTCCAATGTTGCTACTGTCATTCAGGACATTTATGTGGCATCTTTTTGATAAAGAAAATCATCCATTGAGATTGCTATTTGACTTTTGGAAGCAATCAAAAAGTCATTTGGAGTCAGAATAGGGAAAGTGGGGGGAGAGTTAATTTGATTATATGATTATTGCTTGAAAATAATATGTAGCCATAAAATAAGAAAATGCACAATCACAGTGGCTCGTACCTATAGTCCCAGCTACTTACGAGACTGAGGCAGGAGCCCTGGAGTTTGAGGCTGCTGTGAGTTATGATTGTGCCACTGCACTCCAGCCTGAGTGACAGAGAGGGACCTTGTCTCTTTTAAAAAAAAATAAAAGGCCAGGCTGGGCATGGAGGCTCATGCCTATAATCCCAGCGCTTTGGGAGATTGAGATAGAAGGATCACTTGAGTCCAGGAGCTCGAGACCAGCCTAGGCAACATAGGGAGACCTCGTCTCTACATAAAATTTAAAAATTAACCTTACATCATAGAGCGTACCTGTAGTCCTAGCTACTCGGGAGGCTGAGGCAGGATTGCCTGAGCCCAGGACATTGAGGCTGCAGTGAGCCCTGATTGTGTCTCTGCACTCTAGCCTAGGTGACAGAGTGATACCCTCACTCTAAATAAATAAATCAATCAATAGGAAGGAAAGAAGAGAGAGGGAGGGGAGGGGAAGGAGTCAGAAGAAGGGAACTTTTTTTTTTTTTTGACTGATGATATCCTCTTATTGTGATTAATATATAAGACTCAATATTAACAGATTAAGAATAAAATCTTGGCCAGGCTCAGTGGCTCAGCCTGTAATTCCAGCACTTTGCAGGGCTGAGGCAAGTAGATTGCCTGAGCCCATGGGTTTGAGACCAGCCTGGGCAACTTGGCGAGACCTCATCTCTACATTAAATAAAAAATTAGCCAGGCATGGTAGTGCGCACATATAGTTCCAGCTATTTGGAAGACTGAGACAGAAGGATCGCCTGAGACCCGCAGGTCAAGGCTGCATTGGCTGTGAGCATGCCACTGCACTGCAGCCTGGGCAACAGAGTAAGACTCCAACATACACACACAAAAATACAATCTTAAAGTTCTGTTAATAAAAAAACAAAAACAAAAAATATATGATTCATTAAAAATTCTGATGTGTTCTCTTTTTAGTCATTGTGTGTGTGTGTGAGAGAGAGAGAAACCTTCATTTATGTACCTCTTTACTTGGACACAAACTTAAATATAAAGCAAATAGAAAAAATATTTTCACTTTTCAAAATGTAATGTATAACTCTTTAATGAAATATTCTCTCATCTCCCTCTTCCAGGCGAGATTTCTATAAGATTTTGGGGGTGCCTCGAAGTGCCTCTATAAAGGATATTAAAAAGGCCTATAGAAAACTTGCCCTGCAGCTTCATCCTGACCGGAACCCTGATGATCCACAAGCCCAGGAGAAATTCCAGGACCTGGGTGCTGCTTACGAAGTGAGTCAGGAAAAAGGATAAACTATGAATGAAATTTGTGGGTACAGAAAAAAAATCATATAATACAGAAAAACACTCCCTTTCTTCAGGTTACTTCTATATAAAAATAAATGATAGATAAAAGTAAAAGTAGTACTTAATGCTACATTGCACTAGATCTTGCACTCATGTTAGTAGGTGCCATTTCTACCTTTTCATATTAGTATTTATTTTAATAAGGAGAGTCTTGTTGAAAAGGAATGAATGAAAGAGAGAAAGATTGAATGATTAATTTGAGAGCTAGAGCCATAAATAAAAATAAAACCTAAATGAGCATTGTAAACCTACATACTCATATGGACTGGACAAATAACAGGCAGGGCAGGTATAAGATAAAACATGACAATGGATATTCTGCCTCCATATTAGGAAGCAATAGGGATTGTTGAGGATTGGGACAAACCGAATCCTTCTTGCCCTGTTGCAAGGGAGCACCTGTTATTCAACTTCAAGTCAGTTCTTGTTATATATTAATGCAGTCTCTGTGTTGCCAGATCATCTAATTTTTCAAGAGAAGTAGGAAATCCAATTTTTTTTCTGAATTTTCTTGCTTGTGAAAATTTTGGTAACTAATTAAGTTTTTTAATGCAGATCAAATACAGTTATAGTTTGAATTTGCAGTCTCTAATCCTGAAGTCAAAGCACTTTCATGTATATCATCTCATTTAATCTTCACTAGGACACCATGAAATATAGTAGAGCAATTTTTAATCCCATTTTTTAAGTGGACATAGAAAAAAATTAATTGAACTCCAAAAATCATAGTGCTAAAATGTCTGTACTCGAGTTTAAATCCCTGTATATAATGGCAGGATATGGTGGTTCATACCTATAATCCCAACACTTTGGGAGGCGGATATGAGAAGATTGCTTGAGTCCAAGAGTTCTAGACCAGCCTGGATGACACAGCAAACTCTCGTCTCTACAAAAAAAAAAAAATCAAAGCATTAGCCAAAAATCAAAGCATTGGGGGGTGTGGTGGTACACACCTGTAGTCTCAGTTTCTTAGGAGGCTGAAGAGGGAGGATTACTTGAGCCCAGGAGTTCAAGGTTGAGGTAAGCCATGATTGTGCCACTGCACTCCAGTCTGTGTGACAGAGTTGAGACTCCAACTCAAAATCTACCAGTCTGTCAATGTACCAATCCCTGTATATTGAGAAGGTTAGAAATAAATCAGAAAACATTTTAGGAAGACAAAGAACCCCAAAGAAGTAAACTCTAGCCGCCTGGATTAAAGAAGCTATGTAACTGAATCAGATAAATTCTAGAGCTGTTGGGGGTTCCTCTTTCTTATCTTCACAGGGATCCTAGAGGTCAGAAATTCTTAACCTAAAGTTCATGAATAAACCTGAGAAGGTTGATGACCCCTCTTAGATTATATGTAACATTTTGTTTCTTGTTGATAATATAGATTCTATATTTTGCACTTATTTCCCATGAGTAGTCCCGTTATTTACTTGGAACCTAAACTCAAAAATATTTTCTAGGGAAACTGAATTTGTCATGCTTTCTGGAGAATCATGTTCTTTATCCATGATCTAGGCAGGCTATACACAAGTCACTCATGAAATTGTAGTTTATTTAACTAACATTTCCAATCACTGGTTCAAATTTATTTTTCCTTTTATCATTCATTTAAGCTTAATTGCCTTTAATCTTAGGTAATTAATATCCACAAATCAGAATCTCGGTAAAGTATGAAGAGTTTTTGTGAATACAAATTTGTTTTCTCTGCAGAGCTGAGATTACTGCTTGAATTTTATTTAGTTGAGAATTTATGTATTAGTTGGCCAATCAACCAATAACTTTTTCTTTTAAAATAAAATAATTTTCAAGACTATGGGAAAAAATTGCATTCCTTAGAAGAATAAAGTAAGGAGGAAGTGACTGATAATAAATTACTTCAAGGGTAGTTTTTAGAGGTTATTACAGAACCCTCTGATGTCCAAAAAGAAACTGACTTAAAACTAGTCTTTGTAGCCAGGTGCAGTGGCTCACGCCTGTAAGCCAGCACTTTGGGAAGCTAAGGCGAGAGGATTGCCTGAGCCCATGGGTTCAAGACCAGCCTGGGCAACATGGCAAGACCTCATTTCTACAGTAAATCAGAAAAATTAGCCAGGTGTGATGGCACATGCCTGTGGTTCCAGCTATTTGGAAGGCTGAAATGGAAGGATCACCTCAGCCCAGCAGGTCGAGGCTGCAGCCCTGAGCATGTCCCTGCACACGAGCC